CACAGAGCTGCCGGCTGAACTATCATTTCCTGTAGCTCATTCATCTGACATTGCAGAGAGCACTTTTCCCCACACCCCATCTCTTGCCAACCTAACCCTCCAAAAATAAAGCTGTGCCACTAACTGCTTTCTGTCCCTACATAAAGCTTTATTTAAAAAATACTTACAGATTTGCTGTAGAAGTTATAAATGGAAATATTTAGTGTTCTACATATATTCAAATAAGGCTAGGTGAGAACAGAGAGAATCTGGAAATATATGAGAAAAATGTCCCAAGAAGGAGAATTTTATGTAAGTGAATCCTTCAGACTACTTAGTCCTCACTATTTAAGGAAGAACCCCAGGATTTCAGGGCTCAGTAAAATCAGAAAACTAGTTATGTTGAATGAGGACAAGCCCAGAGGCAAGACAAATTATTAGACAAGAACATGGTCCTTGAGATTAGAAAAGCCTGAGTTCAAACCTATTTATACCATTTACTTCCTGGCTTATTTAACCTTATTTAAGTTGACTTACTCTAGGACTCAGTTTCCTCAAGTGTAAAATAAAGTAATTATCTTTACTACCTCATCAGATCTTCTTAGGGTCAAATGAGGTAATCTATATAAAGCATCTAACACAGAACTTGGTTGGTAGTGAATTTCTAGTAAAATTCAGTAAACGTTATGACCATTATTGTTAACATCTCATTGGACAGAAAGAATTTTAAAAAGCAATTTTCACTTGTTTATCTTGTATAGCTATTTGAAAATTTATGTATGTCCTTGTAACAATGACAGAGGTTTTCCTAGAGGATAAGGTACTTCTTCTTAAATCTAGATGCCCACTAATACAAGGAGGGAATTACTCTTCTCCTGCATAAACTGGTATTGAAGATCGTATTTCTATGAGGTTATTGTTTTTAGTCAGAGAGCAAGGTACCCAAGTAAGCATGTTTTGTCAATTTTTTTTGGCATTGCATTCTCCCACAAATTCCTAATGTTGAATCCCAAATACAATGAGGGAAAGCTCTTAAAAGGAATTCTGAGCAGCCAAGACATCTTGTGTTTGAGTGGCATGATTCTCCAGAGAAAAGAGGTGCAACGAACCACACTCAGCACTTGATTTTACTCTGGGGGATTTACTCATCCTTAAGGTCTATACAAATGTGAGTGTAGCTAAAAATGAGAGTCATATTTTTGGAGTCTTGAGCTGAGGAAAAACTACAAGCAAACATCCAAGGGTTCTCTGAAAAGCTGCTCTACAAGAAAAACAAGAGGGGAGGCAGTGAGGACTAAGCTTTATAAGAATTCCACCCCAATCTCCAACAATTTAAATTCCAAGTTGAGAGTGTATGATCTCTCAATCTATGGCTTGCCTGAAAAGATAAGGTGAAATTTTTCTAGAGAAAGATAACATCATCCAGAGAATAGCTTTTTTTTTTTAAACATGCAATGTTCAATATTCATTCCAATACTAAGAGAAAAATAAAATAAAACAACAGAAGTAGGCCCAAAGATAACTCGGATATTACAGTTATCAGACATATGTTTAAAAAATAACTGTACTTATTTTATCAAAGAATAAATATAATGAGATGTAGAATTTCACCAGAGAATTGGAATCCACTAAAAAGAACCAAATGGAAACTCTATGACTAAAAACACAATAATGAAAACTTCCTAATAGATGTATTTAGCTGAAGAGAAGATTAATAAACTGGAAAATTGGTTGATAGAAATATCACACAAAACCAAAAGCCTAGAAAAAACAAATCACAAAATAAGAGATACGCATAATCTTGTGGAACTATCTAACACTGGAGTTTCTGAGAGTGAAGAGACAGAAATAAATAGGAATAATATTTGACAAGATTAACAGCTGCTTTCTTTTTAAAAAATTGACAAAGGTCCACAAGCCAAGAACTTCTAAATACCAAGAAAATCACTTAGAAATATCGTAATCAGCCAGGTGTGGTGGTACACGCCTATAATCTCAGTGACTCTGGAGGCTGAGGCGGGAGTACTGCAAATTCAAGGCCAGCCTTGGCAACTTAGTAAGGCTGTAAGCAACTTAGCAAGACCGTGTTTCAAAATAAAAAATAAAGATAGGGGATGAGACTCAGCAGATAACCTCCTCTGGGTTTAATACC